GACAATAAAGCACCTAATTCTGATTTGTCTGTTATCCAGAAGTGTTGCGTGTTTCATTGAGCCCTGGAAGCATGCAAGCAACACAGCCCACTCCGGAAAAAATAACAGCCTGGAAAAGTGGCAGGAGGAGGGGAAGAGCACTACAGTTTTCATTTGTGTCTTTTATATTGCATGGAACACTCTTTGTCCATGTTACACAGTGCACAAGTGGCACAAACAACAAAGCGTTGTCCACTACAGTGGAAAAAATAAAGACAAATAGGCTGAAAATAGGTAGATCCATTTACATTTCCCCTTGTCTCAGCATGCTTCTGTGCATTTGATTCACATTTAGGGTTCCCAGAGTGAACAATCACACACTGACAACTACTATGGTTTAGGGACACCTTCATAACTGCCACGTCAGCAGCAGGAAACAAAATACCTGTGTACAACACTGAAATTCCCCTTTTCACCCCTCTGAAAAGCCTCTGAGCTAAGTATAAGACAGCGTTTGGGGCTGTAGAAGATGAGCCCCAGAGCTTCTGCAGCAATGTCTGTGTTTTAATTTTAGCCTAAGCTTTCAGTGCTAAAGGGAACACAATTTCTACCTCTTTCCATGGTGAAGATAACCACCAAAATGTGAACTGGAGGCTGGGCTGGAAAACTGAGGAAGCGCAGAGCGGGTGTTGTCAGTCACATGTGGTCTCCAGCATATGGGTAACAGTCACACTTAAATAAGGAAATCAAATGTCAGTCCACTACTACCCTTTCCAAAATGAATCTCTCTACTGACTCCCATGAATATCCAGCTTCAAAGGCTGAGTGCCTGCTCGCAGGAACAGGCAGACAGTCGAAAACACACACTGACAGAACCTGAGTTTGCTCTGCTTCTCTCTTCAAAACCTTTTCATTAAGCATTTTTTCTTCGTCACTGAGCTGTACAAGAAAGACAAGCAGGAGAGGAAGGGGCTGGTGGGAGGAGGGAAGGGGGAAATACGGCATTTCCCATCAGCTCTACCGGAGGAAAGGCATGGTGGGGAAACAGTAGCGTAGCTGGCTGCAGACCTCATCCAGCCAGACAAGTGCAACCGAGGAATGAAAAGGAGAATAGAATGGAAATCAGGGAAAGGAAAACCAGCACACAGGGGAAAGACCAAGAGAATACGTAGGAAAGGAAAAGAGAGCAAGGAGGCGCTTTTGGTGGGACTGAGGAAACAGCCAAACACATACAAGTAGGTTAAGAGTCAAGGAGAAACAGATGAATGTTTGAAGCATCCAGACGCAGAAGAGCACAGGCTCTGTCTGAGTGTCCTGGGTTCAGCAGCAGCAGTCATTTTTCTCCTTCTTAGTAGCTGGTGCAGTGCTGTAGTTTTGACTTTCAGCCTGGGAACAGCGCTGATAACACCAGTGTTTTCAGTTGTTGCTAAGAAATGTTTACTCTGACCAAGGACTTTCTCTGTCTCATGTTTTTGTTTTGAGTTACTGGCTGGGCTTAAGCCGCAACAGTTCTTCGTGGCGCCCAGTGTGGGGCTGGAAGGGCTGAGATAATGACAGATCTGACCAGAGTGTGTCTAATCATATTTGTGATAAGCATTCATTGGTTTGGATTGTCACTCATCACAATGCTGATTTATTGGCTCTCAAAGTTGTTGCTCTTGATCTCAGAGTTTCAGCATGTCATACCTTACTTATAGCCAGTATTTGCTGGTTTAGTGTTTATCGACTGGGGTGCCTGGGATAAGGTTCTTGTTTTGCTGTACTTTATGGTAATGACTTGTAATACAATAGACTGATTGATCATGAAACTGATCTGGCTTGCATTCCGACTGTGGTCACCACCTCTATACTTTGGGAGGTATATAATAGCACTGTATGGCAATTACATATCTTTTTTCCCCTCCTCGGGTGGTCAGCCTATGAAGGAGACATTCCCTTACATTCCCAGCTCCCCCACCAGACTATTTACAGCACCATTTGAGAGTTTTGAAGGTTCTGAATGGCTTTTGGGTACCCTTGAGACCTGCCTGCTGATTGTGATGGGGATTACCATGGTGGCACACATGCAGAGTGTGTTTTACACGTGGAATCAAAATGACTGGAGACAAACATGTCTGGAAAACACCAACAAGAAAAGAAATGCTAGCAAGCAGGTGGGGAATAAAGGTAACAAGGTTAAAAAGCAGCATACAGAGGTTTGCTTTCTTTTACACATTGAAATCTTCGCTCAAGTTTATATCTAAGTTCAAGTCTCAAATCTCAATTTCAGCAGAAAAGCTTCAAGTTTGAATTAGCCCATAAAGGCTATTCTGCCACCACATCTAATTAGGCCCTATCACCAAAGGACATGCCGAATATCTGAAGTAGATTCTGTTTAAGAGCTAACCCAGTACCAGTAATAGTAACAATTCCTGGCTGAGTCACATTTTCATTTTAAGCTCCAAACATTACCCATTCAAAGGGTTTTATTTGAAAATTGTTATTGTTGAAACTTGTTGGATTTTTTTATAGTATCTCAGATGAGTAGGAACAACATTTCCTGTACTACGGATGAGATGCTGCTTCGAACATTACAGGGTTTTTCCTTCCTCCTTTTCCCAGCCCTCAGACACCTCTATTGGTGGGAACTTTCCTTGCAGACACCGTCCTTCCCAAGGACAGACTGAGAAAAGGCAATTCCCTCACACAGGTTTAACACCCACCTGGGGCTGATGAAAATGGTCGCTTGGGTGTAGTCTGTGAGCCCATGGAGCCGCAACCAAATGTCTTCACTCTTCCTCTTGTAATCTGATACCTGGCTTTAGCCATCCCTGCAGCTCTTGAATTAGGAATGGAAAATATGAGAGCTCTGTTTCACAGCAAAGGTTCAGACACAGGGGGAGGAAAAGAAAGGAGACATCTCGGGGCTACTTGCAAACAGTGTTTGCTTTATGCTGGACTTTAACACCTGACAGCAACAACACATGTAGGCTCTGTGTACCCACACATACCTGCAGCCGTGCTACAAAGCACTGTCAGTTGGTAGTCGGAAGCCTGAACCCAGATCAGGCCTGAAGCCTGATTTCTAGCCATTCCTTTCACTTTGTACCTCTCTGCTCCAGCTGCTTTGGGTGCAAATAATGACATTTAAAAGCAAACAGCTACCACTAGCTGCTGAGGGAATGAGACATTAAAGATGCCAATAGCTGCTTTCTGCATTACTGCAGTTTGTCGCAAGAGTAGAACAGAATGCTGGGCTGAAGGCTTTGTAACAGTGTCGTCCCTAATCATCATCCTCATCTTCCAAGTCCTTTGACAAACATTTTTAAAGCATCTCTCTAGTTATACGTGCTCTCAGCCACACAACCAGCACATTTCAAATCCCAAAGCACAGTACAAGGACCCCTTCTAAACACAGCACTCGGGCACATCGCAGCACAACCAGCAATCCCAGGCTGCCCTCGTGCACCAGGGAAAGGGATGATGCATCCGCAGGCTCACAAGGCAAAACCTTTTCCCTGAGCACTGTGGCTCAGCCATTTCAGTGACACAATCACAGCGTTTGCCAAGTAGCTTGCATCATGTAACATGCTGTGAGGCTTTTCACGGCAGCATGGCTCACGAGCTTCCCTTCAGGGGCCCATTCCCAAAAGCCCTGCTGCAAAGTGCTGCAACTCCCGTGAGCTTCCCCCCTACCTCTGCCTCAACAGGAGCAGGAATCCTGCACCTCTTCTGCTCCCTTCTGCAGGAGGGTGAGCCCTGCCGAGCTCAATTTGATATGGGCTCCCAGGGTTTACAGGGAGTGATAGCTGTCACCTTTCAGAACATCACCAGAGTCATCTTCACAAGAAGGTTTTCATGTAAAGCAGGTGGGAAAGTGACAGGGAACCAGCAAAACCACTTTTGTTGCCTCCTCAGGAATATGAATTTGTGGTACCACAAGGGTCAGATTTCAGTTAATGCAGGATTAAATCCTGTCCTTAGAGCCATATGATGATACTGGCAGGTAATCCAGGTGAAGATCCAGGTGGAAACATAGCCTAACTTTGCCTTCTTCCACTATAGCATGAAAGCATTCATTTTTACAGACTGGCTACAAGATTTCTGAACCAACACACTACAGCTATGAGATGACATATATCAATAAAGCTATAGCTTTGTCGGGATGGTGAGAAACAAGCAGGGTGCAGTGCAAACTAAACAGTACAAAAACACAGCGAACTAAGCAGTTGGTTCCTGAGCTGAGGTTTGTAGAGATCTGGTGAGCTGCAGGATATTGGCTCCCCATCTTGCTTCCAGCTGCTTCTACAGATGTCCGGGCTCCTCGTTGCCAAGAAGAGCTAGGAGGCTAGTGAAAGCAGCTGGAAGAGAAGGAGGTGGAGGAGGAGTCAGGCTCGCTGCCTCTGGGGATGGCACAAAGAGGAGGGGAGGGAAGCAGGCATTGCCCACACATGCTCCCCAACTTCAGCTGAGGGTGCTGACCACAAGGAAAAGGCACAATGTCCAGGGAGAGGGCAGTGAGGTACTGGACATGTTGCAGTGGGTTTTCTTCCCCTTTTTTCCTTCTTTTTTTTTCCATTTTTAAAGGGAGCTGGGGAAGAGAATCAAGTCCTCGGGTAGCATCTCTGCAAGAAGGTGGGAGCAAGGAGGGCAGAGACTCAGAAACCAATAAGGAGGGGGAGAGACAGAAATAAAGTGATCAGATATTAGTGGTGTATGCAAGAGCAAGAGAATCACCGAGCAGATGGGAGGAGGGAAGAAGAAATGATTAATAGAGAGTGTGAGGCCCTTCCCCCTCCCTCAAGCAGGACTAATCACGTGGAAGACAGCAAAAATGTTACTTCCTAATATTGCTCTGCTGCGGTAGCTGCCACATGACAGCGAGAGTGAGCCTGTCCCCAAGGCAGAGATCTCCCTAAGAGACGGGAACAGACACCTCGCAACAGCATGACCCCCATCTTTAGGCTGCTGGTGCTCCGGGGTCATCTGTCAGGATGTGTCTGTCACACCCCACATCCCAGGAGCTTATCTGTAGTGCTCCTGCAGGACCACCTAGTCCTGCAGCAAGTCTGAAGCAGCATTCCCTCACCCTGCTCACCTTCAAGCTCCCAGTGTGAGCCAACCACCAGTGTTCAACTTCCCTGCATCAGGAGCCAAAAGTCTGATGGGCTGATGTCAGAGCATACCTCTGACCACGCATCTGTGGGGCCACACCTGGATATTAATCCACTGCCTCCTCAGCACGAAAGCACGGCGTGAGCTCTGCCATTACACGTATTGATCAGAGGGGCAGGTCAGCTCTGGAGCGGGTTGCTCTCCGCAGCTTTTGGGATGAGACAAGAAGCACAGGCTCCCTTTGCACCACACGTTTCTCAGGCTGTCCACCAGGGAACAGGAGAGAAGGGACACTGCCAAAGAAACACAGACCCTAATAAGTATACTTGCTACAAAAGAGAAAGAGGCTCCTTTGTGTTTCTGGTGACAAGTGTGTCACCAGGACTGCTCTACACACAGCTCCCATGAGAGACACAAGTACACAGCTCTGTTCCCCAGGTGCATGCGAAACAGTTTATTCCTTCCTGCATTTTACAGGTGCTGTCGCGTCCATCCATCACCTCTGCTGTTTTTATTTCTATGGACTGAACAACCCCAGTACCTTCATTTTCCCCTCACAGGTCATGTCTGCTCCATCACCAATTCATGCTCTTTTCCTCCCTGTCCCACTTTTGAGTTGTTTTGCTGTTTCTGAAGGCTGTGAACAGAAAACTGGTTCATGACTCCAGCTGAGACCCCACCGAGCTGAGCTGCATTGAAAGATCACTATGCCCTCTTGCTTGTAAACCCTTTCACAACCTTATGAGCCTGGTGACTCATGATCAGCATGGAATCCATCACCAAATCCAGCCCCTTTCTGCAGTGCTGCTGGGACATCTCCCATTTTGTATCTGGGCAGCCCTTTATCCTCACCTAAGTTTACAACTTTGTGCTCATCCTTTTCTGGATCACCTCTTACTTTTTCCAGGTAATTCAGCCAATGCTTTGAATCCGAACCCTGTTTTCCAAAAAGCTCAGAGCTCTTCCCACACCAGTACTGCTTGCAAGTGTAATTAGCATCTACAGCAGAAAAATCCCCACTGTGTCACTTCTGTGGAGGACTCACAGGAATTGACCACTGTGGACACAGCCTGGTCCTAGTGCACTCATGGCACTGCACCCCACAATGGCAAGTCCCTGGAATTTCCCCTGTAAGTAACCTGAGAGCCATGATTAAGTGTGGAAGATAAAGGTGTCATGGTTGTCATGCAAATATCCTCTGCTCACAATGGAGCACCACGCTATGCCAGAGGACATAATAAAACCAATTCAGATCAAATGCCATGCTGCAGCTCAATCCAATGTGTGAGGGCCAGAGCTGATTTAAAAACCAAGGTGCAAAAGCCTCAGTAAGACAAAATTAAAAGGAGCCTTTGCCTGATGATGATGGTGGAGCACCCAGATGAACCAACCAATGTTCCCCGCCAAGAAACACACATGGTGCCCTAAAAACTTTCATCCGTAAGCATCACTTCTTCTGCAGTATTCATCAAAGCCACTTAGATCCACACAAGACATCTTTTCCACGATGTTCTGTTTCTCTCCAGAGCTTTGACACTACACTATGACAGCAGGTATCTTTAGACTACAGAAAGTGAGCAAAAATTCCACTGTGGCTAAAGGCAAGAAGGCAGAAGGGGTGGCTATGTCTGCATCAGACAACTAATCTTAAGAAAGGGCCTGAGGGCATTTTACACACCAGTTACCCCCCTCAGCCTCCCTGTGAAAGAGCAGCAAACACGCTCTGGGTTGCAGGAGGTCCTGATCACCATCCACAGCTCATGGGCAAAATGGCTGAAAGGCACTTTGATCCCAAAGCAGTGTTTCAGGGCAGCAAACTGCAGGTGTCCTACAGGACACTGCTTATTAATCCCATAGAACACAGTACTGAGCTATAAATTCCATCAATTGCCCACTGTTTAAATAAATTAGTTTTCTTAAGGACAGGACATGCTGGGACCAGTTATAAACACATCTGACTTAAACCCATCCTATTCCTCTCCCAGTTATGCAGCTGGAAAGACTTCTGGCTTTATACTGGGAAAAGCAGTGCTCAAAATGTGACATGTCCTTTTATTCCCAGGGCTCATGCTTAACTGAAAAGCAAAGAACAAAACCCAGCCTGTGTCTACTTTTATGATTTGAATAACGAGGCACGTGGGACAAGCCTGAATGCCAGGGAAGTAAGGAAATCCTGGACCTGAGGGGCTTCCAGCACAAAAAGTATCTGGTCAAAATGCCAGTGGAGTCTCCAATGCTTCCTTAGGAATAAAAAGCCTCCTTTAGTGTGGTATATGGCATTAAGATTGCCAAGAGATTACCATAATCACAAGCACTGCAAACCTTGCCATTGGACTGTTTCAGCCCCAGAATGACCAAATCCTAGCTCTGAGGCCAGACACTGTAACCACCAGTGAACTAAACAGTGCCTGTGGTGTTTTACAAGAGGATGATGGCAGTCTAAAAAGGCACTGTGGGTGGACCACTTAAAGCAAATAGAATGCATTTTATTTATTCCTTTATGCCAGATCCTTTAAAAATTGCAGCAGGAGATTGCAGTAGAGACAAACTGAGATTTTTATCTGTTTGTTTCTACTTTGGGGAGAGCTGCCTCACCAAATGAGGTTCACACAGTACGGGAACCAGAAAGAAAGAAGGAAAAGAAGAAATTCCATCCTCTTCACCATTTCATTAGGATCCCTTTCCTAAGCTCAACAAAGCTCTGTACACCGCACGAGTGCCCCGATCAGCAAGATTTACTGCTTTCGGAAGTCCTGGGTGGAGTGCTCCAGCAGAACTGGACCACTGCTACAGCAGGGTTTAAAGTGATGTCAGGAAATGGGTGGGGGCAGGGAAAGGGAGCACAGCAAATGACATAGCCCACAGTCAGGAAACTCACTTGGCAGGATTTGTGGAAAACCGGAGGTATAAAGGAGTAAAGCCCCATAAAGCAGTGCTCGGGCTTCTCCCACCGCTAATCTGTTCCCGTTATCAGAGCTCAAAGAAAAGAGGACACTTGCCAGCTCTGGAGAATTGGGAATGGTGCCAGCTGATGACACGCTGTGACAGGCAGCCGCTCGGGTCTGGGTGAGGCCTGCTATCATGTGATGTGCGCTTGATAGCTAGGGAACAGGGGAGGAAAGCACCAGCGACAGGAAGCACTGACTCTCTAGTTACTGAATAAAGGTAAGAAGGATGCAGCAGGGAGGAGGAAAAGAAAGCATCCTGCAGCTCTAAGTCAGATGCAGCAGATTACTGTTACACAGGTAGTTTTACCAGGGATGGCAAGAGCAGGAGGCTTTACAGCAACACACATACTAGGCAATGCCACTCTTAGCCAGAAGCAGCTGCAGTGCTACAGGGGGAAACCAGTTGAGACAGAAGCAAAGCAGGAAAGCCTTTTAACACCTGCAGACAGGCCAGCAAAGCCCCTAAACTTCACCAGGAAAGGAGTGACAGCAAAGTCACCCCAGTGGGTCTGGTTAGCAGAGGCCAGGCTCCTGGATAACCAGCACTGCACCTTCTCAGATGGCATCTGTGATATGGGCTGAAGCAATCACAGAGCCTCGGGGAAGGAGAGGCCAGGATGTGGTGGGATACTCCTAGGAGGTTGTATGTGCTGCAGCAACTTGCAAAGGAGTGTGGCTTTCTTGTTCCTCCACAGAGGAGTTACCTAGAGACAAGCAGCCTCAAATACAGGAGCTGTACTCAATGGAAATATAATCACAGCTGTCCTCCCCTGCGCTGGGAGATTCACTGGGGTCCTGCTCTGCACATATATCCATGCCTGGACACAAAATTCTGTGCCACACATCTTGGAAGCTAAACAGATATGTCAGAGGGATGGGAAACAGTAATATAATCATCAGGAGTTAAGCACAGCAAGGGGAATAGAAAATGTAATGCAGCAAAGGGAATGTTTCCTGAGTTGCCCTTACAGTTCTGCACACCCCCTGTTCTCCTCTCCTGTATTCCAGTCTTCTGGAAGACATCTGTTTTAGGAGAACTTAAAAAGAAAATCAATATTATGCAAAGCACCTACACTACTGCTAGGTTAAGTATTAACCAGATTTCTCCCTCTAAAGAAACCAGTAAACCCAAATGAAAAAGCAACACAAGCCAGCTTTGGAAGCAAAAAAAAAGCATTAGTGTAGCATAATCAGGACAAATTTGGAGCAACAGGGATAAGATGGAAGTACATATAACAGGTAAGAGTTAAAGCAAACCCATCCAAAAAGAGGATAAATCAAAAGGATGAAGGTCTCTGAGGTCATCAATATTCTTCCAACAGTTTCTAGTCATAAAACATTAGGTACCAAACAATAAAAACTAGGTGTTTCACTTGAGAGCACCTCAGACTGCAGAGATACTTGGGTGGGCACCAACTGGATTTTGATGAACAGGAGTGCAAGACACAAACAGCTCTGCGTCACAGGCAGAGACTCACAGCTATGAGTGAGCAGATCTAAGAGCTAGACCAGGTTAGAAGCAAGGGAATCACAGATGGAAATTTTACCTACACCAGGGACCATATTAAAGAAAAAAGGGCACCAAGACTATGCATCCCTTGGAGCATCCTATTGTTGTGTTTCACATGCACAGTTACCCCCAAAAATTTAATGTTTTCATTACTTCATTTCACTACCAAGTAGTTATCGACTGAAAACACAGAGTTGAGCCTCCTCACCTTATTCTGCTAAACAAAAACACACTCTGCGGCTTCCTTCCTCCATTATACTCACACAGAGAATGAGAAGTTTTACTTTCCATAGCCGTTTTTTTCTCATACGCTCACACAGACATGCACATCTAAGAAGTGAGGGCCCAATTAACACTTACGTGCGGGTACTTTTTGATAAGCCCTAGAAATTTCCCCTTCCAAACCAGCCATCCTAGGCAGCCTTCCAGCGCTCTCACAGGCCTGCACACTCATGACAGATACCACTTAAGGTTTGGCAGCC